GGGAAACGAAACCGAAACGGGCGCTCGCAGCCATCTTACCGTGCGCTCCGGCCGGGACACGTGTCTCGGGGCCTCCTGGTTCCCTTTGTTTCCTCTCTAAATCGTTTGGTGTGAAGAGGCTGAGGTAAGAATGTGTTTTCCACCCCTGCCAAGCTTGGGGGACGCTTGCACAAGCAGAGAGGCTCCCCCGGGGGGGGGGGGGGGGGGCCCCCCCGGGCCCGAGTGCGGTACGAGGGTGTTCGTGGAGTTGTGTAGTGAAAGGGAAGTTCGAGGTGTGCGTGGTGAGGAGCTCTGTAAAGGTGAGACTTGCACGGGAAGGGACAATAGGTGCCTAGAAGGTCACAGGGAACAGTGAGTGTCATGTTTCGTGTCCTTATCCTCTGTTTCCCCAGCCAGCTGTGCTCAAAGAACCAGAATATATCCTGTGCCGGGTTCTTTGTGCTTAAAAAAGTGTAGTAAAGGCTCAGTCCTGTGTGCTGCGCCCCAGAGGTTGCGCAGCTCTGTGTGACAGGTGAAATTTGGGCTGCAGCCCGGAAAACCATGACGCCCCCTTGCCAGTTGTTCACCTATCCGGTTTCCTGGCAGGTTATCACCTTCCTACCCCTGTGCTGTGAGGCTTTACCTCTGCAGGTCACAGGAAGACACAGACACTTGGGCTTTCAGGCTAGTTTGGTCTTGAACCTGAAGGTGTTTGCAGGGCTGTGGTAGCTCTGTCCGGTGTGACCATGTGAGCCACTTCAGCTCCTTGTGCGGCTCTACCTCATCTCCTCATGCTGCTTCACCTTGTGCCCTTTCCATTCACCTCCTCATGCTCTTCACCTCTTCATGGCCTCTTCCCCTCCTCATACTCCACCTCCCCTCACCTCGTGCCCTTTCATCTGCTCCCCCACCTTCTCCTTCACCTCCCCTCCTCATGCCCCTTCCCCTGCTCATGCTCCTTCACCTCCTCCTTTGCATCTTTCTGCCCCTTCTCCTCCTCCTGCTCCCATTTCTCAGCATGCAAAGTAGGTCTGAGATAGTTCTCTCCCTTGGGACAGAGGAGTGGAGCTCACTCTGTTCTGCAGCACGTCCTGAACAGATCTGGCCCTGTGCTGGAATCGAGTCCAGCAGGAGCAGAGAGCCTGTCAAAGCTTCTCATGGTCAACTTCACCTGCTGCTTTGGGGCTGCTGGTTCTGTTTGTGTTTACATGAGGCATTTAGACTCCTAGAAAAGCAGAGAACAGGATGGACGGGACAGAGGAGTGGAGCTCACTCTGTTCTGCAGCACGTCCTGAACAGATCTGGCCCTGTGCTGGAATCGAGTCCAGCAGGAGCAGAGAGCCTGTCAAAGCTTCTCATGGTCAACTTCACCTGCTGCTTTGGGGCTGCTGGTTCTGTTTGTGTTTACATGAGGCATTTAGACTCCTAGAAAAGCAGAGAACAGGATGGACAAGGAGAAGGTGCTCAAAATGTTCCAGCAGAAACTGTTCAGTTCAAACTGCACTAGAGAATTGTGTCCTTATGTGAATCCCTCCTGAACTCCTGTGTTTTCTGTCCTCAGGGCTGGAGAAGGAGAAGGTGCTCAAAATGTTCCAGCAGCAGAGAAACTGTTCAAACTGCACTAGAGAATCGTGTCCTTATGTGAATCCCTCCTGAACTCCTGTGTTTTCTGTCCTCAGGGCTGGAGAGTGAGGAGTGAGCTGCAGCCCTCCTGGCCCCCCTCATGCCTCAGCACTGAGCTATGAGCAGAGGCACTGGCAGAGGCAGAAGCTCGTGTCTTCCCTGGGCAAGGCGCTGCCCCAGCACTCACCGAGGGACTTTTTACCGCCCTCAGACCCCCCACGGAACTAACCAGGAAACCTTTTCACACCAGGCAGCAGAGCAGGACGCCGAGTGGCAGAGACCCCGGGAGGAGGCACGTGGCAGAGGTGGGAGAGCTGGAGCAGCCCCTGCAGGGAGGTGCCAGCGTGGCTGCAGCAGGGCCCGAGGCTGGAGGTTCCCCAGCCAAACCCCCTGGGCTGAGGCTTCACCGGGTCACGTCCCTCCGCAGTTCCAGTGGCTGGAGAGGGGGGGGAGAGAGCCTGACACCATCAGGCTCAACTTTCAGAGGCTCTCTCTGACTGGGCAAGACTGTGAGCAAGAAATCCTGAGTATTTTCAGGCAGCTCGGGGAGGGAAAGACCTGCACAGTTCATGTACTCGCACGGAAGCTCAAAACTCACAAGAAAGAGATCAATCGTGTCTTGTACAAACTCCTCAGGGAAGGCAAATTGCACAAAGGGGGAGAGATACCACCTCTGTGGAGGATTGCCAGTCCCAGCTCGGGGAGGGAGAGAAGCCCTGCTGAGCACAGCACCAGCTGCACAGACCCTGCTGGGGAGGACAGAGCGGAGAGGAGTGTGCTTGGCTTGGGGGACACAGACATGGCTGAGACCAAGGAGAAGATCTGCAACTACTTGTTCAGTGTGGCAGAGACAACAGCTCTCAATCTGGCCAAGAACATTGGGTTTACCAGGGCCAAGGACGTTAATGCCTTTCTCAGTGCCCTGGAGAAGTTGGGAGATGTCCACAAGCAGAACACGACTCCCCCCAGGTGGTCTCTGACAGACAGGAAACGTGAGCGGATGCAGATGAGGCTGAAGGCCAGTGCAGCAGTACAGGTGGTGAATCCCACACCTCCTGAGGCAGCTGGTCCCCCTTCCTCTGGCTCTCCCTGTCCCCAGGAGGTGGCTGAGGCTTCCCCAGCAGCAATGGCATTGAGAGGGGAAGGGGTAGAAAACAGACAAAGGCCTTTGGGACCACCTGCCCAGGGAGATGGCAATGACACGCAAGTGGCTGTGCCCGAGGACATTAAGCCTGAATTCGCCAGCTTGAGTAATTATGATAACTCAGAGAATGGCAAATGGGCCACAGATGACATCCCAGATAACCTGAACACTATCAACAAGCAGCCTGAGGAGTCAGAACGCATTATGAACTCCCAGTGCTCCCCCAGTTATGCCGCCCAGTTCGACACTGCTTTGCTCTGCACACCTGTGGAGAAGCTGATGGCTTGTCAGGAGAAAAACCCTGTGAGTGGTCTCACTGAGTATTCCCAGTACACTTACCAGCACTGTGAGTTTACCATGCTGGAGCAGAGTGGGCCCTCTCATGAGCCAAGGTAAGGAAATGTCTTACATCCCCATAGCTCTTCTTGTTTGCAGTGATCTAAGTTCACTTACTCAGCTCTGCCCTGAATTGGACAAGCTCAATAATGTTTCTTTCATTTCAGAAGGATTGGCCTAGTTGATTATTTGCATCAGCTTAAAAATAAAACAAGGCTAAGACTTCACCCCACTTTGGGCAACTCTGCACCTCATTCTGAGCAGCAAAGATAGGATTGATCTCTTCACTAGGTCCTGTCTCATTTAACCAGTTGCCTTTCAGTTTGATGGGGGAAACTGATACTTCTAAGCCATCTCTCAAATGTGTTCTCACCCTGGAAGTGGTGTAGAGAGAGCCCAGAACCATGTTTGGGTGCAGGTGTCTGGGGTGAGCTGAGGTGACTCTGCTCTGGGGGTTTCTCTGGTGCAGATTCCATGAGCAGAGCTCATACCATGGCACTGGAGTCTGCAGAGTCAGTCCCTGGAGTCCTCCTTTCCCTGGCAGAGTCCTGAGCACCAGTGAGACAGTGAAAGGCACCACATGTGCCACTCTGGAACTTGTCAATAGATCCACTAGACAGGAAAATTGGCCTCATTTCTCAAGATGATGTTCTAGGGGTTTATTTGGATTGTTTTAAGGAGGGATCTGAATGGATTCAGCCCCAACATCCTCCCCAGATCTGGTTTGGCCCATTCTGCTTGGAAGCAGGTTTCCAAGGCTGGAGGATGGAAGAGGAGCTTTGTTTGTTAGAGTTCACAGGAAGCAGAGAGACAGAAACATCAAATGCAAGAGATGTATGTGAGGTGACACCTCCCTGGGGTGGTGTGAATGCCCTGGGCAGCCAGGGAGGAGTGACCCCAAATGACCAGAGCAGATGGAACAGTGTAGACTGCTTTTGAGCTTCCTTACTCCTGGGCAGGAGCCACAGCTGAACTGCTCACTGCAATACAGCCAGTCCCTGTTCCTGGCAATCCACCCTGATTCTTCAGAACAAAATCTGGAGCTGCTCCTCTGGAAATGCAATCAAATGAGGTCCAGACACAGTGCTATTCCCTTGCTGCTGGTCTGGAGCTGCTCCTCTAGAAGTGTAATGAAATGAGGTCCAGACACAGTGCTGTTCCCTTGCTGCTGGTCCAGATCTGGGTCCTCTTGGCAAGAAAGACCTTGAGGGGCTAGAGAGTGTCCAGGGAAGGGAATGGAGCTAGGAAAGGAGCTGGAGAACTCCTGAGGGAGCTGGGAGTGCTCAGCCTGGAGAAAAAGAGTCTCAGGGAGAACCTCATTGCTCTCTACAACTCGATGACAGGAGGGTGGAGCAGGTGGGGTCAGGCTCTGCTCCTAGGTGACAGAACAAGAGGAAACGGCCTCAAGCTGCACCAGGGGAGGCTCAGGTTGGACATCAGGAAGAATTTGTCCATGCAGAGGACTGTCAGGTGTTGGAAGGGGCTGTCCAGGGAGATGGTGGAGTCACCATCCCTGGAGGAGTTTGAGACACAATTGGACATGGCACTCAGTGCTGACAAGGTGGTGATGGACAGGCTGAGGAAGTTGGGGCTGTTCAGCCTGAAGAAGAGGAGACTGCGTGGAGACCTCAGAGCACCTTTTCAGTATCTGAAGGGGCTACAAGGGAGCCAGGGAGGGGCTCTTTGTTAGGAACTGCAGTGATAGGACAAGGGGAATTGGATTCAAACTGAAGGAGTGGAAGTTTAGCTTGGAGATTAGAAAACTAAAGTTTTTTTCCTGTGAGGGTGGTGAGACACTGGCACAGGTTGCCCAGGGACGTGGTAGCTGCCCCGACCCTGGCAGTGTTCAGGGCCAGGTTGGATGAGTTCTTGAACATTCTGATCTAGTGAGGAGGTGTCCCTGCCCAGGGCAGGGGGTTGGAACTAGATGATCTGTAATGTCCATTCCAACCCTTAAATTCAATGGGATACAGGTTGGACTTGATGATCTCAGAGGACTTTTCCAACCTCTGTGACTCTGTGTTGTGGCCTTCTGCACACAGCAATGTGTGGTTTTGCTCTCCCAGCCAGAAACTGGTTGTTCTCCCTTGAATTCCAAGGGACTCTGAGACCAACCACACCTCTGCCTCTTGCCTTACCTCTCTGGTTCTCTCCTCCCAAGGTTTAAGTTCCAGGCAGTGATCAATGGGCGCAAGTTTCCTGCAGCAGAGGGTGCGAGCAAGAAACTGGCCAAGCAGGAGGCAGCAGCCAATGCCATGAAGGTCCTGATGAGTGAAGCAGAGAATGGAAGGCACAGTGGAATTAAATGTGAAGAGCCATTTCCCTCTGACAGATCTGAACCAGAACTGGTGAGTCCTGTTTTCTTTGCTTGTGAGGCTGCTCAGACACTATCAGAGTGTGTTAAGGGGTTGGAATAGACCTTATAGATCATCTAGTCCCAACACAGGGACAACACATACCAGAGCAGGTTGCTCAAGGCTTGATCCAGCCTGGAATGAACACTGCCAGAGCTGGGGCACCCAGAGCCTCCCTGGACAACCTGGCACAGTGTCGCACCACCCTCACAGGGAAAACTTCTTCCTAATACCTAACCACTGTTAGACTGACACTGCTTCCCTCCCTCTCCTTGCCGTAGCCTTCGCAGCCGGAGCCGTTGCCTGCAGCAGCTCAGCTCAGCCTCCTTCCTGGGAAGCATCCCATCAGCATCCTCATGGAGTATGGGCAGAAATCAGGGAACATAGTTGAATTCCAGCTGCTGGCTCAGGAGGGCCCACCCCATGATCCTAGGTATGTCAGCTCTGGGGAGGAGAGAAACCTTTCTTCGCTGTCCTTCCCCCTCAGCCCACATCTCTGGACTCAGCCCTGGGCTGAGTGTTCCTCTTGTCCCAGGGTTCCAGGCATGGCTCCTCCAGGACATCTGCCTCCAGAAAGAGACCCAAAGCAATGCCCTTTCTCTCTCCTGTTTCTTGTGCCAGAGCAGGAGCAGGTTCCAGTCCTATACCCTCCCTGGTGCTGCTGTGCTGGGAGTGTGTAGGCCCGTTGTGGTAGATTTCAATTGGAGATATCCCAGAAGGATTGAAGTGGGAAATGGGGATAATAACCAGATGGAGATATACCTATGGTTAACATTTTTCATGTGCTATAATGTCCTGTCAGGTTCAGCTACTGTGTGAAAATGGGTGACCAAATTTTCCCTGCTGTGGTAGGAAACAGCAAGAAAGGAGCAAAGCAAATGGCAGCAGAACTTGCTGTGAAGATTCTGTCCGGAGAGTCTGTACCCCATGTCTTGCCTGAACAGGTACAAAGAGCTTCTTACAAGACCCAAAGTTTTTGGGTTGGGTGTTCACCCTCCTTTTTCCTCCTGTTCCACTGGATTTCCAAGGCCACCTGCTGGCTCTGGCAGGGGCTTCCTGCTGCTCTTGGCCTGTGGTAAATCCACCTGCTCAATGTTTAACAGCCTTCTCCTGTCTCACTCCTCTCCAGCCTTTTGTGAAGCCCCACAGTGACCAGTCCATGCACAGCTGTGGGCTAGGGGTCTCCACTCCAGATGAATCTAAGGTGGTGAAGGCAAAGGGTGTTGGGGAGCTCATCAAGTACCTCAATGTCAACCCTATCAGTGGCCTGCTGGAATATGCTCGTTCCAATGGCTTTGCTGCAGAGTTCAAACTTGTTGACCAGTCAGGACCTCCCCATAACCCCAAGTAAGTCTCTGCATCTGGCCAGGAGGACATTTTGCACTGCTGCTGTTGTCCTGGAGAAAGGGCAGAGCTCAAAATTGCTGCTGCAGTTTGAGATGGCAACAGGACGAGCTGCTGCTTGTGCCAAACCTCATGTCTGGAGAGCAATAAGCTCCCTCTGCTGCCCTCTCACTCTCCAGCAGACTGAAACCCACAGGTTTCTTCGTTTCTTTGTAGGTTTATCTATCAGGCAAAGGTTGGAGGCCGCTGGTTCCCAGCTGTGACTGCACACAGCAAGAAACAGGGCAAGCAGGAGGCAGCTGATGCAGCACTCAGGGTCCTGATCGGGGAGTCGGAGAAGATGGAGCGCATGGAAGGGATGAACATCACTGAGGCAAGTCCTGTTCTGCCACAGAGGATTATCCTGTCTGCCTCCTTTCAGTCCAGCAGAAAGATGCCTTCAAGATCAGCTGTGGTGTCTCTGTTCCCTGGAGGTGTAGATAAGCTGACAGTGGTTTTCCTGAAGTGGGTTAGATGTTTCCTCAGGGCACAGCAGACTCTTCCCTCCTGCTGCCTCTGCTTGAGGGCTAAATTATCCTCAGGTTCTTCCACAAGCTACTGAAATGTGTCCTGTGGTAGAGTAAGGACATGTTAATCCTTAATTTTGTGACTTTTTTTATTGCTCCTTCCAAATTCCTGTAAAAATTGTGCTCAGAAAAGTCATGCATGAGCCAAGAGCAAAGCCCTGGTTGTGCCAGGGTGGCTGTCCCAGGCCTGGACTGCTCTAAATCACACTTGGAGTGTTGTGATCTCTGGAACTGCACAGCTGAGCACAGCAGCTGGGGCTCTGAATTGCAGAGCCATCAGGGAGGATTTGTCAGTCAGCACTGCTGGAGGAGGTGAGTTGGGCTGCAATGGGAGTTGACTCTGCACTCTCCTCATGGGCAGAATTCCTCCAAAGGACGGACAGATTTCCTTGGCTGAGGGAACAGGCAGGATGGGTTTGTTTCTTTTCACTGAGGGTTTTCCCTAGTACTCTCAGCCTGTGTCTCTGATGAGGCCAAAGCAGAACTCAAAGCACTGGACAAGAGCTTCACCCACCCCTTGGCACAGAACTCTGTGATCAACCCCAAACTGCACTGCCCAAAGCTCATGTTTCCTGTGCTCTGCCTTCTGCTGTGCTTCAGCTTAGCTCCTTCTTGAGCCGTGTGGTTGTATGAGCTGCTGAGGGTGTGTTGTGTCCCCTGGCAGCTCCCTGTGAGTGGCAGCACCCTGCACGACCAGCTGGCCATGCTGAGCCACCAGCGCTTCAACGGCCTCACCGCTCGCATCCAGCACAGCCTCCTGGGCCGCAAGATCCTGGCTGCCATCATCATGAGGAGGGCACAGAAGGGCCTGGGCGTGGTGGTCAGCATTGGCACAGGTATGGACAGCTGCCTCCAGCTCGCTCTGAGCTCACTTCCATGCTAGATTCCCTGTCAGCCACGGCTCAGGAGTGGCTGTTGCTGACAGCTCCTTCAGAGAGGGCACAGAGTGTTCCCAGGGCTCATGTGGTGTCACAAATGATCTGGTTAGAGAGGGGAGAGCAAAGGGAATGTGCCTGAAGCTACGTTGCTCTTAATCTTTGCTTGCACTGCTGCCTGCTAGTGTGTGCATCAGAGCAGAACAGAACACGATCCCTCAGCTTCTTCCAGCTGTGTGTGCCTTTTCTCCTTGCTTAACTGCCACACTCCTAGCAGCAACGTAGAAGGGAGGGGACAGAGCCCCTAAACCCATCTCTGCTGACCCTAAAGTGGTGTGTCTCTTTGGCCCTTGATTTTCCTAACTGCTTGGATCAGGGTGATGATTTAATAGCCAGGATGCTGCTGCTCAGCAGCACAAAGAAGTGAGACTTGATGCAAGATGAGCCCTTCCCTCTGTCTCTGAAGCTGTGTCTTGACTTTGACACTTGCCCTGGTATCTGTCTATGTCTTTCTTTCAGGGAATCGTTGTGTGAAAGGAGAAGAGCTGAGCTTGAAGGGAGAGACAGTGAATGATTGTCATGCAGAAATCATTGCTCGAAGAGGCTTTGTGAGGTGAGAAAAGGGAAACCCAAAGGCACAGGAGAGGGACCTGGCAGGAGGTCCTGATCCATTCTGAAGGGGTATAGCTGAAACAGTTCCTTGCTGTGCTGAGAGATGTTCCTCTCACACTGTGTTGTTAAACAGAGGGAAGGGATTTCTGACAAGAAGGGTCCAATGGTGCCCAAGTTAGAACCAAACAGGAGACTCATCAGGAGCCCAAGGGCTGCGTCTGATGTACTTAGAATGAAGCCTCCTGCTGAGGCTGCTGGGGCTCAGGGCACTCTCCAGCCTGAGCACAGGTCCCTTCCTGGGTCTGGGTGTGGAAGGATTCGGGCAAACACACTGCATGGTTTGCCTTGATAAGTCAGCAATATTTTTTCAGGGCTTGGAAAGGGTTTTTTTCCACCTAAACTGCAGATTTCTCTGTATAAACATCCACTGTGGCACTTGGGAGTTTGTAGAAACTGAAGCGAGGTGAAGCAGGGCTGCCTGGTTCCTGTCTGCCCTTCAGTTCTGACAGCACAGCCAACTGCTGCCTTCAAGCCTTCAGTGCTGCCTCTGTGCTTTCCTCAGCACGGGAAGGTGTTGAGGGCAGGTCCCTGGGAAGTGATGAATCAGGATTGTGTCTTGCTGACTGTCTGTCTCAGCTGTTAGTCTTGACAGCAGTGGCAGCTCTGGCACAGCAGAGCCTGTCAGTGAGCTCCTCCTCTCCTCCTCAAATCAGTCCCTGCACAGGCTCTGCTCGAGGGCTCTCTGGGAAGCTGCAGTTGTTCTTTAGTCCTTGATGCTGTGTTGGTTTTTCCCTGGCCAGAGGCAGCCATAAAAGTCTCTGTCATTGTAAACAGATCATGGGCTTGTGCTAATGATATCACTTGAGTTCAGCTGCCTGTGGGGCTGTTTATCCTTAATGCCAACTTGGTGCTGACTAAAGGTGCTGGTTTAACAACCCTGAAGGATCAGGTGCTGGCAAGCAGCAGCCAGCCAGGCTCCTTCCCCCCCTGCTGCCAGCACTTCCCTCTGGGCACAACACTGCTTTGCCACCATGTCCTCTCAAAGAATCTGCTGGATTTCTGCCCTTTTTGTGCATCAAGCCCTGTTTGGTGGCGGAGGATGCTTGGGAAGCCAAGGCCTCTGCTCTGCCATGCAGCAGGAGCAGGTGACATGGGTCCTGCCTGTCGACTGCCTGTCCCCTTGTCTGGGGAGCAGAGCAGCCTTATGACAGGCTGGTGTTATTTTCAGGTTTCTCTACAGTGAGTTGATGAAGTATGACCCATCTAATCCTTCCTCTGCAGAGGAGAGCATTTTAGAGCCAGCAGGAGGGAACAGACTCAGAATCAAGAGCAATGTCACCTTTCACCTCTATGTCAGGTTTGTGGGCAGGGAGAGAGTGCCAACTGCCACAGCCCTGGCTGTGTCCTGGCAGTGCTAACCAGGGAGGGTTTGTTTTCTAGCACAGCACCATGTGGAGATGGAGCCCTCTTTGACAAATCCTGCAGTGACCAGGCAGGCGTGGTGGGAGAAGCCCAGCACCAGCCCCTCTTCGAGAACCCCAAGCAAGGCAAACTGCGCACCAAGGTGGAGAACGGTGAGAGAATCCTCCCTGCACCGTGGGGTGACCCCAGTCCCCTCCTCTGAGCTCTCCTGGGGCTCCAGAGCTTCCTTCCCCTTCTCTGCGTGGTGCTCGTGGAGTTTGAAGCATTCAGGACCCAAAGGAAGTAGGTGGAAGGGTGTTAGAGGGTCCCTTTCCCTCCCTAGCTCTGCCATGCTCACCGGAGCACAGATGGAGTTTGCTGCAAAGGTGCTGTGTCTCTGCTTTCCCTTTTTGAGCAGTTTCCTTCTCCCTTTCAAGCCCAGTTTCATTCTGCTTCAGTGTGTCGAACATGACTCGTCTGTACTCAATACTGAGTGCCAAATTGTTCCCCAAACCTGGTGTCAGACTCCAGAGGTCACTCTGGATATCCAGAAGTTTCTGTGCAGTTGCTGATGGGGTTTTGATTTCTTGACTATCTGACTGTATAGCAAAGCTTTCTTCTTCTCTGGTGCAGGGGAAGGTACCATTCCTGTGGAGTCCAGTGACATTGTGCCCACGTGGGATGGGATCCAGCACGGGGAGAGACTCCGAACCATGTCCTGCAGTGACAAAATCCTGCGCTGGAACGTTCTTGGCTTGCAAGGGGCATTGCTGTCACACTTCCTGGAGCCAGTTTACCTCAGCTCTGTCACCCTGGGTACGAGACCTCTGTCCTTTCAGGGCTGGGGTGGCACAACTGGGCTGCAGCAACACCTCCCTCCCCTGTGTGGTGGCAGTTTGTGTGTGGAGGCTGCAGAGTAACAGACTGAAATGTCATTCTTGGCAGAGCTGTTTGGAAGTGAAAAGGGAGTCTGTGGATTTCATGCTGTGGGTGGAGTGGGTTTCTCTCCAAGATTCTGGATTTTCAGGAGGCACATGTGATCTGGGAGGGTGAGACAGAAACTGTTTGTGCCTTTGGTGAGAAGTGTTGCAGGAAAACTGTATCTGACACACCCAGGGGACACATAGCTATGCTGATCCACAGGCTTTCAGGTTCTCAGGGCTTGGCCACTCCATCACCTGTGCTGTCCTGTTTCCTAACACCTTCACCTCTGCCTCCTCAGGTTACCTGTACAGTCAGGGTCACTTGACCCGAGCCATCTGCTGCCGCGTGGCGAGGGATGGGAGCACACTGCAGGCAAAGCTCCAGGCTCCATATCACATCAACCATCCTGAGGTACTGCAGCTGTGGCACCTTTCTGTCCCCCATTCCTCTGTCTCTGGGTTTGGGGGTCCCTAAGGTGCTCTGCAGGGGATCACCAGGCAGCAGGGGCGAGAGTTAATGACCAGAATCATGGGATATTATGAGTTGGAAGGGCCCTATGAGGTCTCACCAAATCCAACTCCTGGCACTGCACAGGACAACCCTAAGAACTGCCCCAACCCCAAGAACTGCCCTGTGTCACCTCATGGTTTGGGTGTTACTGGCAATGTCTTGGGCTGGGAAAAAAGACACTGGAGTTACCCCAGTAGCCTTCAGCTTAGCAAGAACCTCATCCTTGCCACTCTGAGGATTTTGGGATGAGCTGAGCCTGTGGGAGATGGAAGGGGTGAGAGGCCTGCACAGCAGGATGAGGTTCAGGAACCCTCTTGCTGTGCCTCAGGTGGGGCGAGTCAGCGTGTACGACTCGGCCAGGCAGACAGGCAAAACGAAGGAGTCCTCAGTGAATTGGTGTCTTGCTGATGAAAGCGAAGTTGAAGTCTTGGATGGCACCAAAGGGAAAGTAGATGGGTAAGAAGAGCCTTTCCTGACACTGCTTTTCTGTTTGGGGAAAGGGGGGCAGGAGGGAGGAATTTCTGATGGATGTGAACAAGCACTCCTGAAGGAAAACAAAGCACTGCCCAACCTGGACCCTGCTGGGCCCAGAGCTCCCTCTTTGTGGGCTTCTCCCTTAGCCTCCTGCTCCTCTTGGCTTTGCTGAGTGTCACACCCCTCACTGCTGCCTTTGTCTTCCCTCTCAGCCCGAAGCTGGAGGTGTCTCGTGTGTCCAAGAGGGAAATGTTCGCCCTGTTCCAGCGACTCAGTGCCAGGCACGACCGCCCAGACCTGCTGAGCCTCTCGGTGTACTCAGATGCCAAGGAGGCAGCCACGGAGTACCAGGCAGCCAAGCAGTGCTTCTTCAGCACCCTGGAGGAGCTGAGCTATGGCAGCTGGATCCGCAAACCCCAGGAGGAGGAGACTTTCTCTGTCCCTGAGGCACAGTGAAGCGCCCTGCGAGGTGTGGGGGTGAGTGTGCACAGGTGTGTGCATGGCTGTGCTCATCCTCCTTTCACCACCTTCTCTTTGGAGTGGAGTGAGGAGTGTGCAGCAGTTCCCTGTAGGCCTGGCTGCCTGCTCCTCAGCCCTTTTTAAAACATGCATGTAAAGGATTCTCCTTTTTTTAAGCCAGGGCAGACTCAGTCCCCGTTTGCTTTTATAGTTCTGTCTCCCTGTTTTTGTTTGAAAAGAAGGCACAAGAAACCAGAGAGATTCTCAGACTGTGTGAGCTTGAAACCTTTGGACCGTGCACTGCACATCCCTCTGGCAGGTTTTGAGGCAAATCTTCTCTTTTGAGAAAAAAATAACAACCCAACTGCCTGGCTGGTTTTCCATGTCTCTGCTGGAAGGTGGCTGCAGCCTGGCCGAGCTGGGACACGGACTGACCTCTGCAAGGCACAGCAGGACCCGTGTAACATTCCCATTAATAACAAAAATTTC